AGCCATTCTCAATCAATTTTTCTAAAAATAAGCAAAATGGATCACATCATAGAGGCAAGTTTATTTTTGTAGTTCACATACCAGTTTCAGAGTCCTTGAGTACCAGTTTCAGATGTGTGATTTTTTTTTTAAAGGGGAAGTTCTAATGGCAGTATTACTAATTTTCATTATGGATTAGTTGCCCTTGGACTGAAAGAGCTGGGTGGGAGGAAAATGGGATGATTAGATAGACTGTTGTTTAATAACTTAATGGTTTCTCATGGGTCTTTGCCCTAAGGATGTGTGAATACTGTGACCTTTTGATCATGCTTTCTTCTTGTGCCCCTGAATTTATTGCAACAAAAGTCATATTCAGCCAAATATGCTCAACTTTTTGAAAAAACTTTTTTCTGAAAATTACTTTTTTCCCCCCATTTTAAATTCACTTTTGGTTATGATTTCCCCTGAACGACTGATTCTACACTGTTATAATCTAAAACAAGCTTGTTGGCAATGTGAGGGAAAAGAGTCCTGGGCCAGAAATCAGAAAACCTGAATTCTGGTCCTGCCACTAACTGTATGACTTTGAGTAAGTCGTTTCCCTTCTCAGAAACTCAGGATCCTCATCCATAACAGAAGTACATTATCTAAAACTTAGAGTCTAAATGATTTCTGTTGTCATTTTTACCTCCGTGATTTGAAATGACTTGCAACAGTGCTAAGAATTATAGTGAAAGCAAATGGGACTTTTTCAGAGAGAAAGAAAACAAGCTTTCATTTGAATTTCCTTCAGGGAAATTTCTTAGGAAGTACTAATAAAGGTTGTTTTCTAAAGAAAGGCTTTGCCCACTGGATTCACTAGATTGCCAAATGAGAAGAGAATAATTTCTAGGGGAAAGACAGTGTTGTAATATGATATTCTGAGCCAAAAAAATTTCTCTCACCCAAGATATGCATCTAAAAGAGGAAAATAGTCTTTCATTCATTTATTACATAATTATTGAGCACCTACTATATGGTAGGCACTGAACTAGTTTGTGAGGATACAGCTGTAAACAAGACATAGCACTCATTCTCATGGACATACAGTCCTTCAGGGGAGACAAATAAATACACAAGATAATTACAGATCGTGGTAACAGCCATAAAAGAAATAAACAAAAGATGTGCTTGAGAGGGAGAGAACATACTCTGGCCATAGTACGCAGGTAAGACCTCTAATAGGAGGTGGTGTTCACCCCGAGGCCTAAGGGATGAGAAATGGTGGGATACACAAAGAATCTAGGAGAAAACATTTCAGGAATATGGAAAGTGAGAAACTAAAAGGAGATGATGTCAGATGCCCTGGTCTTGGAGTAGGGTTGTGCCAGTGGAAATGAGAGAACTGAATAGATTTGAGATATACTTTCACGATGGAAATGACAAGACTTGGTAATGAATTGAATGTGGGGAGTGAGGAGTAAGGGGAAATCAGGAGAACTGTCTAGGTATTTGTCTTAAGTGACTGAGTGACTGGTGCCATTTACTGAGATGGGGGGATCCTTAGAGAATTTTTTTTTTTTTTTTTGCGAGAAGAATCAAGAATTTTGTCTTAAATATACTGCACTTAAGATACCTTTGAGACATCCCAGGGGAAAGTCGAGTAGGCAGTGAGATACACAAACCTGGGTCTGAGGACAGGGGTCAGGGCTCACCCTGGAAATGCGGAAGTCATTGGCATGCATAGGTGGCACCGAGTGCATGAGACTGAGATCATATTTGGCACTGGTTCTCTACCTCAGCTGTACATTGGACCCATTACTAGAGATTCAGATTTAATTGAGCTGATGTGGGGCCTGGACATTTATATTTTTCAAAACTCCCTGGAGAGTTTGCTTATCCAGCCAGCTGGAAGAACCACCGCTCAAGGTAGAAAGTGCAGCTGTAGAAGAGAATCTAGGACCAAGCTTTTACATATTCTTAAATACAACACAGGAGTTTTCTATTCTTTATACCTTGGAAGATCTGCTCTTTGGCCCTTTGGGTGAGATTTAGTTCTCCCTGTTCCATGGCAGAGTAGGCTGTCCTTGACATAAGTCAGTATGCCCTTTATCTTTCATGTTCTTGATATCTGAAGGGATTGCTTGGATGCTGTGGATTTAGGTACATCTTCTTTCAGCCAATCAATCATTCAATGCTACCCTGATGTGGTTTAGTGATAGTGGGTGTTTGTCACGCTTGAAAGATGAAGAACCTTTCAGCTTTTTTACTTCATTGTACTGTAAGAATTTTGTTGTGGTTGTGGTGGTGACTATGCAGGGGTAGACATCTACAAGGAAAATGTGTACGGTTTTGTATGTACACAGCGACAGATAGATGTTCCCTGAATTACTCTGGGGTGTCTGTAGGTACTTGGTAGCTCATCTTTGAAGATATTTTCCGATAGGTCATTGAAGCTCTTAAATTTCACCTGCTCTTAAATTTTTCACACTTATCTGTGCTACTCAAATCCCTTATTTTTGCCTGCAACCTCCTATTAACTCCCCTGAAGCCCTAGGCTAAGAGAAAATAAAAGTGTACTCACACATCTATATACTGAGCTCAACTCTCATTCGGTCTCCATGAAAACCTAATGAAAAGGCTGTAGAAAGCAGAGGCAAAGCTTATTAAATTTTCTTGTGACCCATGGCCCACATAAAGTCCCAGTGTATAAAGGAACCATGCAAGATTATGTAGCCCTCCCCTTAGCCCTTAGGGAATCTGCCATTCCAAAAATATGGCCTATTAAAAAAAATAACTTCCAGGGACAATTCTATAAGCTTTCTTGTTAATGTTTACAGCTGTATCAACACCACACCAATACTTTTTTTGTATGTGTGTGAGGAACAGAATCCACAGATTTAACTGTGACAAGTCCTATATAATTCCCAAATCGTGAACCTAGTTAGACACAGCAAGATGTATTGATGGAAGTTTGTTTAGGGTAATGGGTGAGCTATTAACTCTGTAATTGAATCCTTGCTGCTGCTTCTACTTGCTTTGAAAACCGACCTTGACACTTCACAGGGCTTAGTTCTTAGGTGCCTCACTTTGTAGATCTGGATAGTTTTCAGTGCTCGATAGCAGCTGAGAGAGGAAGGGAAGAGAAAGCTAGATTGCCAGCATCAATGGTTCCAAATGATGAGTGAAAGCTTAGTTGACTAAGACAAGAACTGTATCCTAGTCTGGGATGAGCTAGTCAGTATCTAAGGACTATGGGCTAGTTGTTTTACCTCTGTAGGCCCCAGTCACTTCATCTACGAACACCTTACTTGCCAGGGTATAAAGGTTCTTTATAGTCCAAAAGTCTAATTGTAATCTGGATAAAAAGTTATAAATGGTCGGGAAAACAACCATCAACAAACAGTAAGTAAGTTTCCCTAGTTTTTTCCAATTATTTTTCTTCTCGTCTTAGTCCCTTGATTATAGCAGATGCCCCAAACTTGCACTGGCAGGAAATAGGGTGGTGGGTGCATTTCAGTTAATGGGCCTAGTTGGAACATGTTTGGCCGTGGAGACAGCTACACTCATATTACCAAACCTTGGCTTCTTGTCTGTTTTCTTTGGGCTGGGTAGGCAATGAAAAAGGAGACAGGAAAATACATTTTGGGGCAAATAAAATAAGGAATTTGTCTTATGAAGACAGCTTATAGTTGGGAAATTCTAATGTTCAACTTAACCCTATCCTGATATATTCCTCTTGTGCTATACTAAGTGGAAGACGAGGTATTATTGCTACCCGTAGAATATACCTTCCCATTCTTGAAGGTTCTTAATAATTCTCCTTCAAGATTTTTTTATGGATATTAATCCTCATTCCCTTAATCAAAAGGCCAATTCTTATTCCAGTCATCTTAATGGCTCTTCTTTGAATCAGCTTCAGTTACTTAACATTTTGCTAAAATGTTGGGGGTCATGTACTAGGGCCTCTGGAATGTGGAAGAAGGAATCCACAGTATATTTCTGTTTATGCGTTAGGCATTATTGTACTTGTTCACCACAGCACCACACTACAGGTTTATACTTAGTGTCACACAGAGATTCAGATGTTTTTCTGTTACACTTGTACCAAGACAATACTATACTCTTAACTGAGAATGAGTCGATGATTTAAAAAAAAGTCTTAGTACCTTGGTTATATTTTAATCACATATTTCTTTAATATCTAGAATTCCCTTGGATTTTAGACTTGAATATACTAGAAGAGAGACAGTTTTGTTTGTTTTTTTTTAAATAATGGATTCTCATATTCACATGGTAACCCAAAGGGTATTTTTAAATTTCTTTTACAAAACCACAGTACTAGATTTAAAATAAAAATAAAAAAGCATTCTCTGTGATTTAACAGAGTTTATTATATGCTTTCAGGCTTTGGCATATCACAAAAATCTTCTTGAGAATTTGAGTTTCCTTGCCTAAATTTCTGTTTTTTTCCTCTTAAAGGATTGAGTTTTAATTTTTTAGAAAAGAGCTTCAGTACGGTATTAATTGTAACATAAGAAAGAAAAAGTCACTATGGTCATCATGGAAGTTTCCCTTTGACAAATGTGTTTGTCTCTGTTTCTGCCCCAACTCTGGGATAGTATGTGTCATGTGCACAGACTCTCTGAACTTCTAGGGGAGGCATTCTCCTCTGTGAAACAGAGAGCACACCCCAGTACGCATTCACCTTTCCCATCCTCACTGGGGGCAGAGGTGTGGGGGGTGGGGGAAGAGAGTTACTCTTGAGCTCCAGCATCCTGGCCTTGCTACTGGTGCTTGACTTTGAGTCACTCTCTGGGACCCTAGACTGTCTATTTATAGAACACGACTAAGAACGCTTGCTACTAGATGGTGCTTAGAAAGCAATTTGAAATGGAAGGCTTTATATACACTTTATTACAAATACCAGTATTGATAATTCCTTGGCTTAAACCCCAAGTATGTATGTTCACATATCTATTTAGCATGGTCAATTGTTCAGCTAATTAATATGCTTTTATTTTATGATTTGCTGTTTCCAGGGCACAGACAGAAGCTTGATGACTCTAAACCTAGTTTGTTCTCTGACCGCCTCAGTGATTTAGGGCGCATTCCTCATCCCAGTATGAGAGTAGGTGTCCCGCCTCAGAACCCACGGCCCTCCCTGAACTCTGCACCAAGTCCTTTTAATCCACAAGGACAGAGTCAGATTACAGGTAAGACAGACTCATAGGTTTCACTTACACAGACTCTGGCAGGCTGGGGGTGAGGGGCTACTAGATGAGATGTGTTCACTTCAAAACTCCTGGAGCTGTGAAATGGCTCATTATTAAAGAATCAAGACTTGGAAGATACTGTCCTCCTTTTTTATAAAAAAGAATTCCAATATTCAATAACGTTGGGGTGAAATTTGGGGGATGTTTCTACTAATGCTGTACTCTGTAGCTGTGTCAGTCTGCACACTGGTGGAATGGTAATAACTATGCACGCTGGGAGATTGTTTGTTATAAGTTTCTATATCGTGTCCAGGTGGTGCAAGGGATAACATCACACCCTCACTTTTAGAAAATTAGTGTTACTGTCTCAGATTTGAGCTTAAATTTCTTATATGTATAACTATTTCATTAAGTTTCCTTGAAAATTGCTCAGGGCTAACAGGAAGCCTTGGTTGGTGGTTATAAGGCAGGGTCAATGAGTGGCTCATCAGGCAGACAGAATTTACTTCTGATTCCCATTTAGTTCTGGTTCCTCAAGTGACTTTTCTCTTTATACATTCTAGTAAGCTGCTTATTTTACCTTTATTCTTAAAAATTAACATCAGCATTGCATTACAGACTAATCATTCACATTTGGTGCATTAAGACTCCCAACTCCCCTTTTTTTCCTGCCCCGCTTGTACAAAAACAGGTCTTATTTTAGGACTAGTCTGATTGCTTTTAGGTCATGGTGACAAGAGTGTGTGTTAATGATCATAGATCTTTAATTTGCAGATCCATAAGTACTGAGAGTTGAAGGGAACTCTACACGTCATCTAGTTGATATTATTGGCAGAGGAGGACTAGAATAGACGGAAAATAACTCAAAACAAAATGTACAATAAACTCTCAAAATGGATCTTTTTTAACAGTTAGGTTTTTGTCTATAGTGGTTAGGTTTTGAGTGTCCTTAATGATTTATAAACATAATTGTTTATAAACTAATTCTCTCCTGCCCATATTAAGTATATGTCTTATTCGATATTTACTTAGAGTAGGTTTCTGTGAGTGTATAAATATCAGTCTGAACATATGGGTATGCCTGAGTATCTATTTTAAAGATAATATAGAATTATAAAAATAAAATATCTGAGCACTGAAGAGAGCCAGATATCTGCATCAGGGAAGAACCTTAGAGCTCTGTGAAGAATAGCTATTTACTAACCTAAATAAATCTCTAAATGTTGATATGTTGGAATCAAAAGGTTAATGCGTTCACTAGACATGTGTCCTTGATAAAAATGCAAGAGTGAAATTCACACTAACTTGAATTTGAAGTTTGTAGCTATAGGTGCTACTGCGTTAAAGTAGTGGACTTGGTATCGTTGATTAAGATTCATAATAGCTGTCCTTTTGTCTTTATTGTAATCAATCTGTAGACTGTGTGTGTACATAGAAGCATATATATGTGTATAAAAGTGTTTATATATGATTCATAAGGGACTTATAGCTATTAAAAATATACATATATGAAAAATACATGTTCTATGATTTGGCAACCCCTGGGTTCTCTAAATGTTTGATTTATATATTCTAATCCTTAATTGTTTGCTAATTATGTATTGCTAACAACTAATACTTTTAAAGGGTCTTTTAGAACCTATGTGTTGCTAGATTCACTTAAGAAGATGAGTTTCTCAGAGTTTTGTCCTCAAACCTGAAGAGGACATCATGAAACAGGAACAGATTTTAGAATCTGAAGTTACCTTAGATATCATTAACCAAAAAGTTGGTAAAAGTTGTGAAGAAGAGCTACATTTCAGCAGCACCCCTACCCCAGGTGTGAGTGCAAAGAGTGGGGCTCTGAGGAGCTAGCTGCCAGAAGAGCATCTGAGCAGATCTGTAGCATGGCCACCTACAGACTGAGCTCTCCTCTGATTGTCAGCCTCTCTTCTCCCTGCTGAGATGCTCAGGAAGGTTAAGCCTGTATGCAGTTTTACAGCAGGTTCATGGCAGAGCAGAATTAGGTCTCTTGACTTTAATGCAGTATAAAGTACCGTGCTGCAAGTCCATCATGATCATTTAAAGATAATACTTAAATGGTCATTGGATATTTCTAAAAATGAAAATATATTACAAGAATATTAGCCTTGCATTTTGGGATTACAGCACTAGTAGAATTGATATATAGATCAGTCTTCTCAGTTTTTAAACATCCACAAGGCATTGGGCCCAACAGCTTTCTCAGACTTTCAGAATTTGAAGATTCACATACATACATGTGCCACTCCTACCCACTCTTGGCCATGTGCACTTTCTTTAAATGCTCCCGTATTGTTGGTCAGATAATAGAAGGATGTGCAGAGTTCTACCATGACCCAAATTATTAGGAAAACCCCAGAGCACCCATAATAGCAGCAACTTCAAAGTAAATTGCATAAGTTTCATTTTTTTCCTCTCTGGGTTAATTTTCTTATTTATTGAATAAGTATGATTTAGAGCCTACTGCATGGAGAGAATTGGGTCTTAAGTAATAAGAGAGAGAGAAGAAAAGTCCTGTCTTCGAGTCTAATTGAAGAGGTAGTTATATTTCTGTTCCCCGGACTATAATGTTGTTCCTCGAGTACATGTTCTGTCCTTCCTTACTTAGGCTATTCTATCTACAGTGGTCTTTGCTGACAAGATCCACCCATCTTTCAAGGTCACTGTTATCTTCTTTACGAAAGAGTCCTAGAACCTTTATCTGGAAGGCTGCCTATCTATCCTCTAAGCTTCAGCTGAGATTGCCTTATTTTATTCTGTGTATTTGCTTTATTCTACCTTGCTAGATTGTAAATTCTTTGAGGAATTTATTACAGGGATTTATTTTCTTTTGTGCCAAGCTCAGTGGCAGCATCTCATTAAATGTTGAGTGAATGAAAATTTAGATGAGAAGAAATCAGTGCAAGAAAGGCTGGAATATCATGTCTTGTTAGCATGAACTATTCTTTCTAATTTCCTATCCCAGGGTGCCACTGTTCCCTGATGATGAACAATAAACAGCAGAAATCCCATTTCAATATAACACTTACATAGTTAAACCATTTGGCATCATTCTAGTTTAGTATCTGCATGATTAAATTTAAATTCTACTTGTGAGCCTAACTTGTAATGAATTTTGTAACATCTTTACAATGTGCCACATTTGAATTTTAGTTCATGCAATCCTTTGGATAAAGACATTTGTAACAGAAAGGGCCCAGTTACCTCTCATTGGCTTGACTCTCTTGGTATCTCAAGCTCTTACCCCAAAACCGTAGATTTATAGTCACTATTAGTTCTCCCACTTGCCAACATAAAAGGCAAGTCAAACTCCCAGAAGAGCGAAATAAATTTAGAAAGTATGAGTTGAGGAAGTCATAAGCATTTAGTGTTTCATATTAACATTCTCCAGTGTCTCTCACAGTTCCTAGACTAGAGTGGGCTGGCTTCTTTGCATTGCTGGTCTGATGGTGTCACTGTTTTAGTCTTTAATGGCCGATGTTCTGCTTGAGGGCCCAGGGCCTCCTCACAGCTTTCTGAGGAAGTTGCTTCTTCTGTACCTTTTTTTAAAATATATATCTTTCAGACATCTGGTGCCTATGTCTGGGTGCTAGGAAACACCTAGTCTGTCACAAATGTCTCCATCTTTTGATTTAGAATGTGGTGTTAACCGTAGAGTAGGGATAAGATGTTAGGAGATATCGATCAAAATAATCACTGTTTTAAACTAAATGCTCTCTGGATGGGTGAGCTGCATCTAATAATAGCCGACTCAGGCCCTTGGTTTCGTGAATTGGGACATTCATCTAACCTTTGGGGTAGGCATTCTGCTATTCTGTTATTCTGTTATTTAAAAAATATTTGAGTGCCTACTATCAGGCGTTAATTTATGTGAACAAGATAGATATAGTTTCTGCTCACAAAGAGCTTACATTTTAGTGACAGATATAGCCAGTAAATGGGTAAATAAGCATACATACAAGACAATTTTAGATAATAGTAAATGCTTTGAGAAAATAAAATAGGATAATGCAATAGCAATTTAGGGAGGGAAGAAGCTAATTTTAATTGGAAAGTTGGGAAAAGTTTCTTCAAAGAGCTTTGAAGATCTGTGAGGAACAACATTTCAGGCAGTGGAAAACCCATGCAAAGGCTCTCGGGAAGCAATGAATGTGGTATTCAGGTGACAGGAAGGTTAGCGTAGGTGGAATGCAGAGAACAAGGGGAGTGATACAGAAAGGCAGGCAGGGGCTACATTATAGAGTCTTTGAGACCTTGGTATAAGGAGCTTGGGTTTTGTTTTGATTGCAGTGGGGTGCTATTGAAAGATGTAAAGCAAGAGAATGATATTATGTGCTTTTGAAAAATCACTTTGGATGCTGTATAAAGAATGGATCATAAGGGGGCAATGGTAGAAGCAGGGTCATCATTCAGGAAGCTACTGCAGTATCCTAGGCTAGAGTTGAGGATGGTATCATTTTTCTTCTTTCTTCAAAACTCAGATCGAACCCCGGTACCTGTCAGGCCTCTTCGAAACTACCCAAGGCTCCCATATCACTGTTCAACTGATGACAATTATTTGTTTATACACCTATCTCCTCCATCAGACTTTGAACTTTCAAAGTCTGGGGCATGTTGTATTTATCTTTGTGTCTCTTTGTTTTATATGGTGCCTGCTGTTTGGTATTCTTGGTTTGGTGATGAATGAACAAACGGGTCATTGACTTCTTCAGGAAGTGTGACCCATTATTATTCTACTCCTAATATTTTTCTAGTACCTATTTGATTGAATTACTATTAGCTACCATTTAGTGAGTGTGTATTGTGTGCCAGGTATTGTTCAAATGAGATTAAATCATGTAATCCTCACAACAACTCTATGAGATAGGTGACACTATTGTGAAAACTGAGGGTGGGAAAAGCTAAAAAACTCGTCCAAGGTACCACTTAGTACAAATAAGTGGTAAATACAGGAATTAAAGCCAGATCTACACAGCTCC